GCATCTGAAGATGGGCCAGGTGGGGGAAGAAAGAGGTGACCGATGACGATGGCCAAGCACACGTTCACAAGAAACTGTCCCTTCACCGCAACGCAGTGCCAATATTTGCTCATCAGCCAGCTGGGGTCACTTATACTGAAACTGTCCCTTCACCCCAAAGCAGTGCAAATATTTGCTCACCAGCCAGCTGGGGTCACGTATACGGAAACTGTCCCTTCACCCCAACACAGTGGCAATATTTGCTATCAGCCAGCTGGGGTCACTTACACTGAAACTGTCCCCTCACCCAAACGCAGTGCCAATATTTGCTCGTCAGCCAGCTGGGGTCACTTATACTTGACCACACAGCTCAATGACTCAGTCCCTGGTGCCACGGTTCAGTGGACTGTCTTCTTAACGTACAGCACAGCTCTGATGCTCAAAAACCCTGTCGACTGAAATACGCCCCAAGGAATATTAGTTCAGAAGAACATCAAATTATAGAAATACAGGCAATCGCGAGGAAGAAAGTCACCCAGCACGACGGAAATTACTCAGCCTGAGTCCAGATCCATCATCTATCTCACGAGCTAGTGAGAAGCAGAACATCACCCCACGCAGAGCAAACTCAAGGTTCTTCAGAGATTATTTACCAGTTAAGATGTGGCTCCTCATTTTGCAAAGTAATCAGTAACTTAGTCACCTGTGAAATTTCTGGTCACTCCTTATGTGTAAAATTCGCCCAATTATGTATGCTGTATGGGTTTGAGGAGGGTTATTATAATGAGAACATGAAGCTTTTAATTTTTCAAGGAAATTGTTCAAACAAAACAAAACAATTGTTTTGTTTTTTGGCCTGTTGCTAGGCCGAAAAACAAAAACAAAAAAGTAACGTTCATTCACCCACCGTCAGTATGGTATGGTCTCTGCTGGCAAAGAGCAGGGCTCATTACTTGCGCTCAGGGTCGGGGGAGGTTGCTAAAAGTGGGGAGGGGAAGACAGAGATCAAATGAGGAGAGAAACTCAAAAAAGTATGCTAAAAACATTCCTCTCCCCCAGGAGTTATTACATCTGATATCAAGTCAACTCAAAAAGCTATAACCTCTCGGGGCTTCTTTTAAACAAGGACACATCTTTACAAAAGCTGCATCACCCTGTCTGTGAGGTTACGAATCCTTGTTGGAAAAAGAATTCACATCACAACAAATCACATCTGCCCGTATTGAAAAGCGTCTATTTCTTTAGTCTCTGACAAGACTTTTTCATAAACAAATAAGGAAATGTGACGCTCGCTTCTTTTCTTTGTCTGTGGTTCCCTGCTGCTGGCCCAGCTAAGTCAAGACTTTCTACCTTTTTTTTTTTTTTTTTTCGGGTCCAGAGCTCAAGGGCTACAATGAAGCCACCAGGGTGGCCCAAGCGTGTTTAATTATTTCAGTGTCTTGTGAGGCCTCAGAGGCGGCAGGAAGCTCGTCTGTAGCTGCCACTAACCATTCAGCATAGCTCGCTGTCTCTGGTTCCTGCCAACATGCTTACAGGTACAGACTCCTGGAAAGATGCCAACAGTCTCTAGTTTATGTCCTAGTCCTAATTACACAACCACATCTCCCTTTGGTGAGCCGAAGGAAACTAAAGTTTCAAGGAGAGAGTCTTTAACTGGAATGCACCTTAGACAAATTCCAAAACAGGAAAAACCTTAAGCAGCCTTGCACGTAACAGCACAAAAACTTTCACACGTCAGCAGCATTTCTCAAAATGAAGAGTCCACCTTCGTGGCAAGCTCCGCAAGAAACGAAATCGGCAAAAATCATGACTCTCCCTTCTTACGATGCCAAGAACCTGCAAGGCTGAAAAAAGAACGATATCCACGTCTCTTCTGAGAAAATGCAGACCTTTCCAGCAGACGCATTAAGTAAGCTAAAAACCTGCCAGCTGAAGGGGGAGAAAACGTCAGGACCGTAAAAAATGTATCTTCCAAATAATCAACTTCCCTAATGTAAAAACTCTTCTCTAGAGTCAAGAAATACTTCGACTCTGTGACCAGGGTTATGAAGAATTTCCTTTAAGCAAAACGAATTCCCAAGCATTCACTAAGCACATGTACTACTCGTGTACGAAACGCCAGCAAGCACACTGATTAGGACATTCAGAGTCACCTGCCCTACAGGCTGAGAGCTGGTCTCTTAAATTCTCGTCACCAGCCCGTCTTCTCCCAAGACTGCCAGAGAGAGGGGCTACCCCAGCCCGGCACGCAGCACACCCACCCCAACGCTGTCTGCCCGTTACAACTTTATTTCCTTTTTTGAGTCTCCCTTCCCAAACTTAGCTTTCCTGATTCATGCTGTTGAAATATTATCTCAATGAACTCCAAGTAATCATTTATATCGTTTTACTTTATTTTAATTTTGCTGTATCAGATATAGTATTAACTCGGACAACGGGCCACTGGTGGATATCTGGAAATTTTCATTGCAACGGTATCTGTCATGACGTTTGACTCATAATCCCAATCTAAGAAAACATAGCTATTTATTTACGCCTTGCTTCATTTCCGAGAAAACCTAAGACTGTGCTCAGAAATCCATATAATAAAATAATACTTAAATTATGGAGATAGGAAAATGGGACAAAGGAGAAACGAAAGCAGAAAATTTCAAATAAAACTAGGAGAGGGGCCAGCATTTAAAGCTCAGCTTGTCAAGCCCACACACATGCTAGATCAGATTCTAAGCTTTCCAAGCTTCCCAGCGTCACTGGAAAGAGAGAGCATCACGTATCAGTGGCTAAAATATGACGGCCCACTGGTCAAATCTGGCCACCATCTGCCTCTGTAAACAAAGTCCTACTGGAACACGGCCACACCTAATCATTTACATATTATTTATGGCTGCTCTCAGGATACGATGGCAGATCTGAGTAGCTGCAACAGAATAAAATATTTACTACCTGTCCCTTTACAGGAAAAAGTTTGCAGATGCCTGGGTTACACGATCTGTGCCGGTAAGATAACAGCAAAGCCGTCTCCTGGGATAAGCATGCTCTTCGTATGGTTCTGAAGTATGTAAGAGAACTTTCTACTATAAAGAGCTCACTGTGTAATCTCATGAAAAAACAGCCTTAGCTTCATTTTTCACAGTACATACAGCAACAGATTTCACAGGGACAATGGCGATTCTACGTGAGGCTGAAATGATGCCATTTGAGGGAAATTTTCTCCAGGTCAGGCTGAGTTCAGGGGAGTCTGCTGAGACGGCCAGTGCCGGCCACCCCCTGCCCTCCTTCCTTATCACAGGCCGGCACGGCTAACAGGTCAGGCTCCTCTCCCGCTGGGCCCCAAGGGTCCTCCCAGGTCCTCTGAGGTCTCTGTCAGCAGTTGGCATGCAAGATAAAACCGACATGTCAGCTTTGCTTTAAGGCTCTTTTCCGTGAACATTCTCTCCACTGAATGTGGTTAAGTACCGGGGTGGTGAGATGGAGGTTATTTCTCTGCTAAGTTCCTGAAGCGTGGCTGTTCCATTCTGCCAGTGTGTAGAGCCGTCCCCAGGAACAGCGTCCTCGAGGAAGCAAAGGGCGGATGTCCTCCTGTGGGAACCAGAGCCCCGCGGGGATGGCGGCCTGGAGAGCAGACGCCCACGCGCCTGAACAAACATGGGACCAGAGGGCGTGAGAGCAGGGCCCGCAGCCTCCTCCAGAATGAGCGCGAGAGCCGCTCCTCTGCACAGACGGACGGGTGGGCAGGGATGGAGAACGGCCCAGGCACCTTGAATGGAAGCGCTCAAGCCCAACCCCCCCCACCCCCACGCCCATGATGTTTGTTCAAAGAAACAAACCCTCCGAATAGCCATCACCTCGACCCACTGCCCTGGAACACGTACATTCCTTAAGAACCCCCAAGAGCAAGGGTTCCAAAATAAATGCAAATAACCTGGAAATGGTGATTTCTAAGAAACCACAATTCAATTCGGTGTCGGAAGGAGATAACAAAACTGTCAACAGTGACTTTAGGAGAACACCTCTGTAGCCCTTTTATTCTCTGTGGTTATAAAGCTACGTTATAATCGACTATAGTTCTGTTCTCTACAATAAGGGAACAAAATCCAGGCCATCTAAAAGTGTTATTTAAAGGGATCATAGACTAAACTAAGAGAGCCGTACTTTAAGATAATCAGAGCTATCCTTATTGACCCCACTGGAAACTGCTACCTAGTCTATCCTGCCTATGTTGTCAAAGGGAAAGAAAAAGAAAACATGTCATAAGTCATCTCACATTAGTCCTAACAGTTCTTTCCACACTGTGATTAAAAAGTATAAAACTAGAAAATAAGTAAATGCCTAAAACCTTCCTTCTTCTTGTGGGGTTGTGGCCCTGTGCTAGAAACCACCAACTACAAAGAAAGGAGACAACCATCCTTGACAGGAGAGTTAAAAGGGTCACAGACACGATGGAAATTTTCTTCACCCTAAAGAGACTGCCGTTTGCGCTCCCAGCACCAGTGCTTAGGGTTCAAGCCCAGACCACTTAAGCCACGTGGGGAGGTGGGAAGCCTGGACCTGGCACAGTCTTAAAGAAAACAAGACAAGAAAAACTCTTGAGGAGTCCATCGGAACACACTGGAGCAGGCACTTGCTATGCTCTTCCGGAACCGAGTGCAGGGACGCCCGGATACGTCCAGGATAGGCAGTGCACGGAACGTGAGCACAGAACATCCCGGGGGAAAGCAGAAGCCCGTCCACGCCCACTGCGGGCCGATCCCCACTTCTCCGGGCCACGATGCAGGCCCCCACGCCCTCCGACGGGCCCTGAGCCTGAGCTCGGGCTGAAGGGAGGGTTAGAGACACAACGTGGGAACGAGTGCTTTCACAGCAGATGAGGCCTGTGGTCCGCACCTCCAGAAGCTGCTGCCTCCACAGCCCGCCCCCCGCCTACCCGAATCGCAGCGCGCAGACACCCTTCCCGAACCCTGCACGCAGCGGCCACACGTCCCCTCGTTTCTTCAAGACCCGCCGTGAAGGCTCCTACTTACGTAGCGCGTACAGGGTGAGAATCACTCCAGCCAGGCAGAATCCTTCAAAGAACCTGAGCGTGCTGAACATGGTCACGTTCACAGACAGCGCCACGGTCAGTCCAAAGACGAGGATGAAGATGACGGAGAAGAGCAGCACGGGCCGCCGGCCGGACCTGCACGCGGACAGGGACACGGTTAGCCGCCACCGCCGGGTGGGGCCGCCGGCCGGACGCCACGGCACCCCTGGGACCGCCGTGCTCGCTGGGTGCCGGATGAGCACCGTACTGAGTCTGTATCCCTCCTGGACCCACCTGGGGAGGCCCAGGGGTAGAAGGCCCCCGGGGGATATGCACGCACCCGCTCGACTTGTAGATCAGGGAACACAGGTCAACAGTACCGCACAACAGACCAGAGGGACAGGAACCAAGTCCTGTTGGCGAGTCTGTTCCCGAGTACACGGGGGATAATTCAACACAATCAATACCTTCCCCAAACACCAACCTTGACAAGCCCAACATTCAATGTCTTGAGAAGCTGCTGACCTTCGGAACTGGCTCCAGGGTCAAACACAGACCCCAGGCAAGCGGCTTCAAGCCGTTTCCCTGGGCTGTTAACTAGTCTGGCCCGACCTCACCCGTGGCCTGTGGAGCCCAGGGCCCAGCCGGCTGCCGACTGGTTTCAACTGTACGATGAGAAGGAAATTTAAGGGACCACAGGCTAAACTAAGGTAGCCTGACCTGTACACAACGGGTGTGGAGCTGAAAGTGAAGCCCCCAGGGGCCCAACCTCTGCACCTCGGGAAACGGCAGCGCGCACCCTGGGCTGGTGGGCCACAGCGCCAGCCGGTGAGAGCTCGGTGACCACTAGGGGGCGATGTGCTTCTAGGCGTGGCCCGGGGTGGGGGGGCTGGGTAGCGGTGGCCCACTGGGATGGGGAGGCCCTCGTTCTCCATCCCTCCCAAGCTAACCTGCCATGTGTCCCAAGTAAAGCAGAACCCTCCACCTCACAGATGAATGTGACACAGCCAGAGTGAACTGGAAGGAAGGCTCACAGAGAAACTGGACTCCATTTGCCAAGGGAACGAAGTCCACGCCTGGTACCCCAAACACCTAGACTTAGGACAAGGCGCCTACCTAAGAGCAAAGTGCCCAGAAAGGGCAAATGGAGAGAAATGGAGAGTAGATTCGTGGTTGTCTAGGGCTGGGGTGAGAATGGCGGTGGCTACAAATGGGCAGGAGATGGCAATGTTGTAGACTCGGCATGTGGTGTGACTGCATAACCCTGTAAATATACTAAAACTCACTGAATTGGGTACTTAAAATGGGGGAGCTTTACGGTATGTAAATTATCTCTCAATAAAGCTGCTTTTTAAAAAAGCAATACTCAGTAGTGCATGGCCTTGCCCTGTGCAGGAGATGGATGTAATTTCTAGAAACTCTGGGGGCGGGAACTACAGGACACCATTTCATTCAGAATTCCTTAGGCTTCTGAGCAGCCCCGCCAGTCGCTTTGGTTTAGAGAAAGGAGGGCAAGGCTGTGAGCTCAATGCAACGTAAGTCAACCTTCTTATCGAGCTTTTAGCCATTACCTCCCTTGACTTGTGCTGGGGTCACTAAGCCCTCATCAGCAAAGGCTCTATAGGTAGTTTGGTCCAAACCCAACCCGTTTACAGAAATAAATTTAAGCATGGCTTAGTTGGTCTCCTAAAATGAAGGAAAACAAAGTCTAACTTACCCAGTTTTGTTTGCCTCGACTTCCCTTCTCTGTAACACGGGGATAACCGTCCTGCATCGCAGTGTGCTGGGACCGTTAACAGGGACGACGGACAGGGCACCCAGCAGCTCGTGGGTCCCCTTCCCGCGTCCTGCGTCCCTGTCGCCCACCAGACATGGTCTGCCCTGTCCTGACACCTTAGGAAAGATCCTGGCTTTTTTTTTTTAACTTGTAGAAATGATTCTAAATCTTTCCCTCCCAAATGCTTGTTAAAATCATTAAGTGAAAATCAGTATTAGGAACTGTGGGGCCAACATGGTCCTCAGGGTCAGAGCCCCGCGGCCCCGAATCCAGGCTCCCTGAGGAAGGATGGAATCTTGAGGAAGACGAGGCTCCGTCAAACGAGCCTTGTGCTTTCTTCAGGAAGGGCCGTCGGGTATAGACACGTGCAAGTGATTTAGAAAGCACTGGAGTTCACGTGCGCACCGGCTGCCCCAGAGCTGGGGCCCTCCCCCACCAGCTAACTGGTAAAATCGCACCCCCAAATCTGTGATGCGCAGAATAACGGCCTCGGGGGGGCCCCGGTCCTAATCCTCAGACCCTGTGACTGTGTCACCTCTCAAGGCAAAAGGGGCTGTATAGACGTGACGAAGGTGAAGGGCCTGAGGTGAGGTGACTGTCCAGGTGGGTCCAATCTAAGGACCCATAGAGCCTGTCCTGGCTGCAGGGAACCAGAGAGATGACCTTGTGAGAAGGACCTGACCAGCCATCTCGGGCTCGGAAACTAGAAGTGGGCTAGGAGCCAAGGAACGCGAGAAGGTGGAGAAAGCAAGGCAGTGAATTCTCTCCTAGCACCTCCAGGGGGTCCTGCAGCCCTGCGGGCACCCTGGGTTCAGCCTGGCGCGAACTACAGGACCGCGAGTCAGCTCAGCCAAGCCACCAAGTGCCTGGTAACCGTGACAGCGGCCCCAGAGAAATAAGACAGGGTCTCAACAGGACACAGATGTCCCGCTCAAATGGAGGACTCGGAGGAGATTTTAACGGAGGGATTATTTACAAAGCGGGGGGCAAGCTGGGAGAGAAGGCTGGGGCTGCCGACAGCAGGGAGTGGGGAGCAAGGACAGTCCGGAGCTCAGAGACGGGGCGCAGGCAGGGGGGCCCCGAACGATGGCAACTCTACAGAGACCAAGCAGGGGAGGGAAATGCCGCTACCTTGCTGTCCCCTCCCTCACATCTCCAGCCTGTGCTCCCCGGCCTCTGCCCCGCTGGCCAGGCTCAGCTGGGAGCCAGAGGACAAGGGGGCCTGCGGTGCAGCCCATAAAGGCAGCCTCCCGGGGCCGGCTGGACGAGACATGCAGGATGTCCAGCCAAAGACCGAGGGAGGGGGGGGAACGAGGTCATTGGGCGAGAGCCACTGACCGGGCCGGTCCCCCTCTTCCATGTGAACTAACGCGCGACCGTACATACTGTCCGGTCCCAGAGAGAACGTGTGTGGAAAACAGTCACTTTTTAAAGTTTTCTTAGACGCTGACTGCGGTCTTAGCTTAACCTAGGACTTGATCAACTTCCCTACACAGCCGTGAAACGGTGCCAAGGGCTGTGAAATCTGGGCTTCCCTCTACATGTGTTTATCTCCTTTGAAGCAAGGCTCTAGCAGGGAGTAAAATGCCAAAAATAAATAAGGCAAGGGTGGAAAACACCAAACTTTCAAACTGGAACTGAGGCCCACTCAACACGTGCAGAAAGCCCCAGCACAAGCTGCCCGCCCTGACTCCCCGGTGCCCCTTGCCCACCCACGGCGACCCTGGCGAAGCGGCCACGGCACCAGACTCTGGCTGCTCGCCAAGGGAGACCCCAGACTCTCCTGTCTTCTGTCCCCAGGCCTGGTGTGCGGTCAGGGAGGCCAAACGGCGTGGATGGGCAAGAAGGAAGAAACCACAAAACCCCGTCTAAACAATTTAAACCATCACAGATCTGTTGGTCGAGGTCCATATTTACTTCCCCTATTAAATCTCTCAGGAGTCGGGACACTAAAACCTCCGTCAAGTCTGTGCTTTTAGAAAGAAGTGACGTGGTTATATTACTATAGCCTTCCCCACCTATTTCAATGCAGGTTTCTAGGAAACAAAAGTCTTTGTGGTTAAAACATTGGGATTAGAGTATCTTTTAGGTCAGTATAGCTCACTCTGAAGACGTTTAAGCTCAAGGATTTGGTTTAAAAAAAAAAAAACAAAACCCCAAACCCTCGCCCTTTCCCCGCCTCCACTCCCCAAGAAAAGCCACCACCAAACCCCATGCGAGGGCGGGCTGTGGGTTTCCAGAGATCACTGACAGCGTCTCTGTTGCCGTCTCCAGGGAGTATGTCCTTAAGAAACACTTCCAAACGATGATTAAGCAAATTCTGAACACTCAGGAAATCACACTTCACATTAATGCAAGGAACTCCCAAAATAGGCGCTAGCCTTGGGGAAGAAAGTTCTAGAACCTGAAAGGGGCCTCCCTGGGCTCCCCCGCCGCTCTGTCCCCGCAGGCGCTCTCTGGAGTACCACCGGCCAGCTGTCTACACCCGTGGAGCCAGGCTCTGGGGCCACCACCAGCTTAGTCTCAAATCCTGGCTCTCCGACCTAAAAGCTGAGTGAACCTGGGGATTTTACTTAAACGTCCGTGCTTCCATTTCTCCACCATGAGACAGGGGTAATGAGAGTGCCTTCCTAACGGGGTGCTGTGAGGACGGGATATTCTAATCCACGGAGACACTCAGCACGGTGCCCGGCCACGGCAGGCAGCCAGTAAGCGAGGGGTGCTACCACTGTCGCTGTTATTATTACCATGACTACCCCCATCGCCCTCCGAACAACCTGTCACTTCACCCTGAACCACACACCTGGCCCCTAACCCACCCAAGTAAAGCGTATTCATTCTCGCCTCTGGTCACCGCCCCTCTGCCTGCACTGCCCAGCCATTACCCACATGCTGTCCACTTTTCAAGGTCTAGCTCCCTGTGGACCCACACAGGCATCTGCTGGCCAAGCCAACTACAAGGACTGTCCCTCTCTAAGATCTGTGTGGCATTCAGGGAGCTCATGGGCACAGCCCCACCGTCCAGTTCTCAGGGGTGAAGAGGGTCCGCCGTGTCCTCTCCCCATCTTTTGACACCTCTTGTATATCCACCCGCTCAGGGCCCAGCCCATAAAGCCCCGAAGCCACGTCCCCAGGCTCTTCCTAACTGCACTCTGATGGTCAGGAGGACATGGGCTTGCAGGCTGCAAGCTGGTTTTGCTAGATTCTAGCAGCCGGGGAATTGCAATGAATTTAGATTCTCACTTCAAAAGGGTCTGCTCTGTGCACCGGCCAATTCCCTTCATTCTGAATTCTGCAGGTGGCAGCTACAGGCTTCTGCTCTGGCACCAGCACCAGGGCAGAGGAGAGCCTCGGTCACGGGTGAGCTCACACAGACCGTGCCCCGTTAGGCAGCAGAGGCTCGCTGCGGCTCCCAGGTTTGTGCGGCGGGCATGTGGGTACTTACCAGTCAGCAATGCATCCAGTTATCAGGTAGCCAAAGATTAATCCAACCAGTAAGGAGAACTTAGCGACATGGACCTTCCAGGCATTATCACACACAAGATCCCACTAGAGAGGGGCAAATAGAAAACAGATCAGAGAGAAACACACACAGAGGCCACTTGTCAATCATAAGGGCAACACATAACTGCACTCAGGGTCATGACACCCTTTACAGGCTGTGTCACACATACCGCTAAGAGTCTCTTCAATGTTTTTGAAAATCCAACAATGAGAAATACAAATCTGCCCACAGAAGGCGGTGTAATGTTTTAGCCCGGGACAGAGGATAAAAGTCTGCAGCGTCTCACACCCCCATGACATCTGCGGATGCGTCTTTCCTCCATCCTGCCAGCACAGGCCGGGAGTCCCCCATCACTGGCACAGCTGTCACACGGCCCTGCAGGTGGAAAGCCCCTGCCAGCTTTTTGCATGGGGTATCACAGTAACACGAGGAAACTGAAAGCAACCTCTGTGTTTCCATCCCAAAAAGCTCCCCAAACTTTATAAGTCGCCTTAAAAATAAAGAGGGTTAGTAGTGAATACTGAAATATCAATTTTAACTAAGCATTCTTACTTTTCTTCCTCATCAATGTCCCTTGTGTTTTCCCATATTACATCCTAAAGCCACTTTCTCTCCACGTGGAGAGAAAGCCAATCAATTGGTGAATACAACATTTAGACTATCTTTACAATTAAGCTTTATTATTTAGAAAAACAAATAAAATTAACCCTCCAATTTTTCCTTCCTCCTTTTGCAGAAGTGAGAGAGAAATGCACGTCTGTTCCCTCGAAGTGACGCCGTGTCCAAGTGGAAACACGGCCCTCAATCCACAAGCAACTGACGTCTGGGCCCGAGGGGCAAACAAATGGGGTCTCGGCTTCAACGGGCTTTGGGACAAGCCGAGCTTCTGCACCAGCCATTGCGGAGGGAGGGGCCAGCCAGCCTGGACAGAGCAGGAAGGCAGCCGCCCGACACGTCATTCCCTGGACTCCCTGGGACACATCCAGGGCCGGCACTGCTAGCTGCACGTAATCTCATCATTAACAATTCAGATACAGGTGTTCTTTACAGGGATGACATCCCCTATGTCTGCCCAGGGACCGGCAGCATGAGCATCACCTGGGAAGGCGTCAGAAATGCACATTCCCGGGCCCAGGCCAGACCCCGAACGGGAAGCTCCGGAGGAAGCACAGCAAGCAGTCTGACAAGCCGCCCAGGTGACAACGATGCCGCCCTGGCCTGTCATTTCCCTGCTGTTTTGAACACAGTGAATGCGCTTCCCAGGCCTGGGCCAGGGCTCGAACAGTCAACCCCCAAGAGCAGGGTGAGGCCAAAGGCCGCGTGAAACATGCACAGCAGGGCTGCTCAGTGCTTCGTGCAGCAAATGCCGGGTCAGAAACTAGAGCGTGAGCTAAGGGGGCTTGTGGAGGCCAGCCTGGAAAACCAACACTCACGGAAGTACCAGTGTGTGTATATTCTGTCTCCCCAGCCTGGTTTATTACATTCTGAGGCTGTTTCTGACTTGTTTTCTCTCCACTCTGCCTAGCACAGGACTCTGCCCACAAAGTAATTGATTTCCAAGGCTAAGAGCTACGTCTACGAGCCCATCTGGCTCCTCCGGGCGGGGAGATGCCTGCAACACCTGTAATGGTTACAATCCCAACCACATCACACCTTCCTGCACCTCAGCCTGGCACCTGCTTGGCAGGAGAAGGACACACCCGGCCCCAGGTTGCTGCCAGGGGGAAGGGGGAGGGGAGGAAGGGGGACCAGCTGCTGGCTCTGTGGCCAAGAATCAGTCACTCCCGTCTCCACCCAGACTGCTCACTGATGAGCTTATTTGAGGTTAAGTGATGCCAAGGAGCACATTCTGCTTGTATTAGACGCCCAGGAGACAAAAGAGATTTTCATAAAAGCATCTGGCAGGGAGCGGATTGCCAACACTGCTGCGGGTTCAGGCCCCTGAACAATAACTTGCCCTGGCCTTGGGCAGCCATGACCCAATTCAGTTGCTACCTAGTCAGATGTTCAGTGCAATCGCTATCAATCAACAAGGCGGGAGTGGAAAACTGAAACAGCTGAGGGAGACAGAACCGCTCCCACGGCCAGGAGGGAAAGGCAGCCTGGTTAGCAGTGTCGCTGGCCCCGCTGTCCTCAGCCTGGGGGGCGGGGTGGGGGGAGGACCCAGGACAAGGCGGCCACCTTAACCCCTCAATCAGGCACCGGAGCAGACAGCATCTCTGAGTCAACAAGAAAACTACTCCAGACTCCAGCGGGCTCCCCAAGATAAAGTCCCTCCTGCTTGGGGTCTGCTGGACACCCCTAAAGCCTGGAGGCCCCTTGAGGTCCACTCCATAAACAAGGTGAGGTAGGACTGGGAATCCACGGGGACAGCATCCCTTGTCCGATCGCCCCACTTCTGATGAAAATAAAATATGCTCAGATGTCCTACAACCTCCAGAAGAATTTCAGAAGTATGAGGAAGCTCTGAGATCACCTCGCTTTCGAAATCTGTCCCACTATCGATAAGACACGGCAATCGGTCATTTCACTAAGCAAAGGCTAAGGGACGTTAAGAAACCTAACTTGTGCACAGCCAGGACTCAGTGGCACAGGTTCTCACAGGTTCTGTCTCTGACATCATCACCTGTCACCTCCCTCTTCTCACACCCATCAATCACCGATGCCAGAGGGCGCTCCTTCCTAGCGTACCTGGCGCCCACCCCCCACTCCACCTCTGTTATGGACAACCTGATTTATGGGGACGCGTGATGAGGCTCGCTCGTCACCCTTTTGGTGCGGGTTCCTGCAGTGTGGGCTGGAAAACACCACTTCCAGGCTCCCTTACTGCTGAGCGCTCACATGTAACTGAGGTTCTGCCCGTCGTCTGCACTTAACTTCCAGCGCACAGCCGAGATCTAGTTTCCAGGGTGACTTGAATTAGGAAGAGCGTTAAGCCAGGAATAGGTGGGACATCCATTTGGTGGTCACATCAGGCAGGACTTGGTCTGCAGGTGGCCGAGGTGTGATCCCAGAGCCTGGGTTGGACAGTGACCTCCTGAATCCCCCGCCTCCTAGCTGTGACCCAGTCCCTGGACAGGCCATTCTAGGGAGCTGCTCCAGGCACCCTTCAGGAGGCTCAGCTCTCAGCTGCTTCTGCAATTCAGCAAGCACTGATTTTATGACCAGATCTCCCTGGGAAGGAGTGTGCAGGGCAAGAGGACAGGGGGCCTCCCCACTGAACTAACACAGGGGTCTCCATGCATTAATCCCTCAAATCCATTCCCTTCACAACGATGAGAACAGCCCTCTAGTCAAGCACTCTGTCAGCAGGTTTAACAAGATCGCAAAAGCGGAGACGTCACGGCCCCATTTCATAGTCTGACGCCTGCTTCCCTTGCCGTCGTTCCAGGACCGGGGATGGTCCACTGTGATGCCACGTGATGCTCCACGGTGAGGGAACTGACCCTAGAATGTGATCTCAATCTTAGCTGCACACGTTCTGTTTTTCAAAAAAAAAAGGCAGTGGTTACAGAGAATCTGGTAGACTGTTTTCCTACCTATATATTTTAAAGATAAGCTAAAAGAAATAAAATTTATACTATTTTCAAGGGAATCATCTAATTGCTTGACTTGCCAGAGGGGAGAAATATTCATCAAGGAAACTAATGAAGTTTCTAAAGAAGATGGAAAATAAATGGGAGATGAGGAAGATAATCTTATTTTCAGCAATAATGAAGATACTATGATAAAGTCAAATGCAAAACAAGAACGTAAGAAAACTGAAGAAAACAGACTACTTATCCAATTTTGAAGTGGAGAGAGACTCCCTAAGGAGAAAATCTAAGAGGAAAAAAACTACCTAAGGAAAAGATGATGGATTTTATAACAGTTTATCTGTTACTCCTTAATTATTATTCATTTTACTTATTATTTAAAACCTCCCTGCATCAAAAATACCATAAACAAGGGCTTCCCTGGTGGCGCAGTGGTTGAGAGTCCGCCTGCCGATGCAGGGGACACGGGTTCGTGCCCCGGTATGGGAGGATCCCACATGCCGCGGAGCGGCTGGGCCCGTGAGCCATGGCCGCTGAGCCTGCACGTCCGCAGCCTGTGCTCCGCAACGGGAGAGGCCACAGCAGTGAGAGGCCCGCGTACCGCAAAAAAACAAACATAAACAAAATTATAAAGAGATAAATTTGTAAAATATATTGGAAGGGGGATCAGAATGGGTCACCCCCAAAACATGCCACTTTGGCCTAAGGATGATTTTGAGCTGGAGCAAATGAGAATCAGCAGATTCAGAAAGAAGCCTTCTCAGAGCATCCCTATCTGCCTAAAAGCAGAGGCGTCTGAGAAATGAAGGCCATAAACCCCCTCCCCGGGGAAGTCCTATGGCCGTGAAGACAAAGTTGGCACCCAGATGCGTCTGCAAACAGCCTCACTGACAAATTATGAGTTTGGGATTAACATGTACACACTACTATATATAAAACAGATCATCAGCAAGGACCTACTATATAGCACAGGGAACTCAATATTCTGTAATAACCTAAATGGGAAAAGAATTTGAAAAATATGTATAACTGAATCACTTTGCTGTACAACTGAAACACAACATTGTAAATCAACTGTACTCCAATATAAGATAAAAATTAAAAACAACCTCACTGAAACAACCCTCATCTTCTGTTAGTTCCCCCATATATTTCCTTCCCAAGTTTGCCACCCCTAAAAGCCTCAACCCCTTTTCTTCTGTCTCCTCACTTCTGTACAAACGGACTGTCCTTCTGTTAAGATATGAGCCCAAGTTCTGACCACCCCTTTGAGTTACTGGTCACCAAGCGCTCCTGTGTGCCCGGCTGCACTTGGCAATGAACCCTGGTTCCCTCTTGTTCAGCTGCCTTCAGTCTAATTCCCAGGGCCCCAGCCACAGAGCCTAGGAGGGTAGAGGAAAAAGGTTTTCTCCTCCCCTAAAAGAGCCGAAGGGTTACTATCCTTAGTAAGTATTTCCATAACAATATAGACTGATACTCCTACTAGAAATGGGTAAAGCACCCGGCAA